ATCCTTCAATAAACACGGAGTTCACAACCAAGTCACGATAATTACATTATAAAGACTCACGGTCATGCTAGACACCAATGTATAGATACTCGTCACCATGCCTATACATCGTACTCGATCACATAGCAATTAGCAACAAGACTCAACTCCTATTCCCTCGAGCTAGGGTTAAACCAAACACTTACCTCAAAGCCTTGAAATCCACTTAATCCTCAACTATTGCTTTACCTCGCGGTTCCACCATCAATCTGCTCGAATCTAATCATAAATTTCTCAATTACTTTAGCAAACACTATATGAATTAGTTTGAATGCATAAAAACGATATTCCCAAAGTTTTACTCAAAATTTCCCAAAACGCCCCCGGGCCCACGTGGTCAAAACTCGAGGTTCGAACCAAAATCTGGTTACCCATTCCCCCACGAGTTTAAATATATAATTTGTTTTGAAATCGGACCTCAATTCGACGTCCAACTTCCCAATTTATAGAAAATCTAGGTTCTACCCAAAAACCCCAATTTCACCCATGAAAATCCTTGATTTCAAGTGGAAAACATGTTTAATGATGTTAAAAGTTGAAAGAATTGAGTAAAAATCAACTTACAAATGATTTGGGATGAAGCTTGCTCTTGAAAAATCGCCTATGGTGTTTGGGTTTTGAAAGAATGGTGAAAAGTGGTGAAAATTCGACTAAGTATAAAATTTGCTGGGCCTCGGATATGGGAAATGCGAACATAGGTTCGCATTTGCGAACAATGCAGGCCTGGGAAATGCGAGACTATTTTTCGCATTTGCGAATTCACTGNCATAGATGCATCTTATGTGGTATACTGTCACGACCCGAATTTCCCACCATCGGGATCGTGATCGCGCCTACTCGTGGTAGCTAGGCAAGCCAACTTAATTACCTTTCCATCACTAGCAATTATCTTTAACAGTTGATAACATCAATATAGAACATAAAGTCTAATAAGAACAATAGCGGAAGTCTGTCTTGAAAAGATGAATTTAAAACGCGGAATAGTCAAAAAACAACTTCTACCCAAGATTTGGTGTCACATTACTCACAAACCACTAAGAATAAACTAAATACAAAGGTCTGAAAGAAATATAACAGCTGTCTGTCTCGAAACAAGGAGGCAACAGTCTAAAAGAAAACAATGAGAAGAGACGCCGGGCCTGCGGACGCCTGCAAGGCTACCTCAGTCTCGTGAATATGAATCGCCTGCTTCCGAACTACTGCTGCTGCTGTTCCTCAAAACCTGGACCTGTGCAAAAATGCACAGAAGTGTAGCATCAGCACAACCGACCCCATGTGCTGGTAAGTGTCTAGCCTAACCCCGGCGAAGTAGTGACGAGGCTAGACTGGACACCACATAAACCTGTGCAGTTATAGATATACAGCGGAAATCGAATATAAAGCAATTACCAACATAGGAGGGGAAACATGCTAAGGGGAGATACAATATTAACAACGATCCAGAGTAACAACTAAAAACAGCTTAGGTTCACAATGAATAAAGAATCAATACTCAAATACAAACACTTAGCCTCAATAATTGTTGCGGCGTGCAACCCGCTCCATAATTACTATTGTTGCGGCGTGCAACCCGCTCCACAAATACCACTGTTGCGGCGTGCGACCCGACCCATATCATTTATCATGTATCATTGTTGCGGCGCGCAACCCGATCCTCACATTTTATTGTTGCGGCGTGCAACCCAATCCTCAATATCATTTAACAGTCTGACTTCCCAAACAACAGTCACCATTAAGGGCATAAAATAAGCAAATATTTGACAACCATCCCGGCAAGGGAAGGAATCCAACAAGTTCAACCAAACGTCCCGACAAGGGAATAATCAACAACGCTTTCCGTTTCTTACTTTTCTTATCTTTTAATTCACTTTACTATTTTGAGCCAATGCTGCAAAGAATAAGGTCATTTCGTATACTTTCAATATTCGTGTCACAATTCGAGCCAATGCTCTAGGAATCAAATGATCCTATTACCGTTCACATGTTATTCACAACATATAGAAATCCTCCAATAAACACGGAGTTCACAACCAAATCATGATAATCACATTATAAGGACTCACGGTCATGCTAAACACCAATGTATAGATACTCTTCACCATGCCTATACATCGTACTCGATCACATAGCAATTAGCAACAAGATTCAACTCCTATTCCCTCAAGCTAGGGTTAAACCAAACACTTACCTCGAAGGTTTACGTCCAATTCAATCCTTAAGCAATGCCTTTCCTTTCGAATTTAGCTCCAATTCAATCGTATCTATACACAATTGATTTAATATCATCAGTAATACTCAACAATCCAACCCAAATACCTAAATATAATCTTTCCAACATTCTGCCCAAAATTTGCAAAACCGACCCCGGGCCCGCTTGGTCAAAACACGAGGTTCGAACCAAAATAAATTCACCCATAACCCCACGAATCCAAAGATATAATTTATTTTAAGATTCGACCCCAAATTGGGGTTGAATTACCCAAAATTCTCAAAACCCTAACTCTACAAAAAACCCATGATTCCTACCTTGATTTCATGATTTAGGCTTAGAAACTTGCTAATTAATGAAGGAAAAGTAAAGAAAATAAGTGGGAAATTACTTACTCAAGTGGTCTTGAAGCTTGAGGGCTTTAATGGCTTCCTAAGGCTTGGGAGAGAAGAGGGCTCGTGATAAAAAGTGAAAAATCCCGAGTGTACTGTTTCTGTTCTTTCAAAAAAAAATCACTGGACGACATTACACTACGCGNGCGAAAATTGCAGAAGCCAAATACCAGATTTTTCAAAACATGAGAAATGCAATCCGATGCCTATCCAAAACTCACCCGAGCCCTCGGGGCTCCAAACCAAACATGCACACAACCTCAAAAACATCCTACGGACTTACTCGCGCGATCACATTGCCAAAATAACCTCATATACATAGAATCAAGCCTCAAAACTCATGATTTTTTTTGAAATGTTCATAAAGCCTCAAATTTCCATTTCGAGTCCGAAACACGTCAAACGACGTCCGATTTCGACCAAACTTTACAGAAAGCGCTTAACACATATTTAAGACTTTTACCGGGCGTCGGAACCAAAATACGAGCCCGATACCATAGTCTTTTAATAAATTTTCATTTCCATTTTTCTTAAAAATTTCAAAAAAACAATTTCACGGAAAAATTCATATCTCGGGCTCTAGACCTCGGAATTCGATTCCGGGCACATGCCCGAGTCCCATATTTTTCTACGGACCTTCCGGGACCGTCCAATCTCGGGTCCGGGTCCGTTTACCAAAAATGTTGACCAAAGTCAACTATAATCATATTAATATCAAAATCCTTCAAATTTTTCACAGAATTCACATATTTCGACATAAAAGCTTTCCGGCTACGCGCCCGGACTGCGCACACAAATCGAGGCAAGTAAAACTGAGGTTTTCAAGGCCTCGGAACACAGAATGAATGAGGAAACAGGTGATGACCCTTTGGGTCGTCACATAAGTATAAATCCTACTGAATGCTGTCAGTTTTAAATTTTAACAGTGTGCAGTTTTAAAGTTTTTCAACATACTAAAAACTAATTTTACATGCATCAGTATTGGAATTCAATTTATTTTTTTTAAAAGTATTGGAAATCAGTTTGATTCATCAGTATGTCATTTCTAATGATTCATATGTATCTTAGAGATCAGATACATGAAATTTTAGTCAACTAATTATCTAATTGACTCAAATAAAGTAACTATATACAGTAGTTAAAGTGGGACTTTAAACAGTAAAAAATATAATATAAGATTTTCTTCCCAGAGATGCAAATAACAAAAAAATGTGTGTTTAAAGTCAACTAAATAAATGTCCAATATGAAATATATGCCTCGTAAAAACCAAATTAGTTTGAGACTAAAGTAATCATTGCGTAGGAGAAAGGAACTACAAGTTCAAAATTGAAAAAGTAAATATTTCTAGGTTGTAATACTATTAGCAATAGCTGAAACGCTGTAATTTTGTAAAAAGTTAAAACCCGCACCCGCACCGCACCCACAAAGAATTTTTAAAAAAAAAAAGTCTAAACCCGCTCTGCACCCGCATATATCTAAACCCGCCCCGCCCCGCCCCGCATATGGTAAAACCCGCAGCACCCCGCACCCGCACCGCCCCATTGCCATCCCTACTTATGAGAAATTTGGCAACTTTAGCATAGAAGCAGAGTGTCCCATGTTTGTGGAATGGGCAAAAAAGTGTATGCAAAAGGAGAGTGTCTCGAAGTCTCTTACTGACTCTGACAAAGTCTATGATTTTATTATGATGGCGAGACAGATGTGGGGCATTGCCTAAAGACAGAAGACGGATCTAGAGTGAGTTCTGCAATCAAGCGAACTTGTTGTTTCATGTTCGAACTATGTTTTCTAAATAGAGAGGAAACATGAAAGGTTGTGTTTGTTTTGATTTGGCGTGCTTCATGTAGCAAGTAGTAAAATACTGTTTGCTACTCTGGCATTTTATACAGTGAATAATGTAATATTTGGAGGTTTTGCTTGCTATTAAGAGACTCATTTCTATCTGTTTTCTTCTCCTCTCTTCATTTATTAGAACAGGTCATTACTATTTGAGTATCTGCTGGTCACATAACTTATTCCAATATTTGTAAGGGAGCAGGTCTTAATTGTTCAACTAAATTTGTACTCTGCCTCAAACATTGTCTGCGGATTCAACCTCTTTGCTGAAGTTACTGCAGGTCTCCTAGGTATAAAAACCTGCTACAGAATCCGGTGAGAGCAATATTCAATGTTCAAGAAATCCAAAGCTCTACCCTCCAACAGTTTGTATTACAGTTTTACTTATGTTTAGACTATGAATTGATGAATTGCTGGAGGAAATGGCTATTCTTCTTGAAACCATTGGATGTAGAATTGAAACAAGTAAAGGGTGAGATTAGCCCCTGCTGTTCGAAACAATTAAAAACAGAACTAACAAGAATCAACAAAATGTATGTATAGAGTAGAATCATTTTTTGGTATTACACATAATGCAAATGGAAAAATGATTACAAAGTGGACAACCTCCAGAATTACATACACAGACTACAAAAGCCAACACTCAACATGACACAACTAAGAGTCTTTTATTACTCATAAAAGTAGACTGACTGACACTAGCACCAAACAAACTTCAACTCAAGAGAAATGCCTTCTTTTAATACATTATTACTCAAGTCCAAACTTCTGCCTAAGCACCTTTACAAACTCAAGGACTTTAGGTTGGTCAGGCAAAGACTTAGCAACACTCTCCCTCTGCATGCACCTTTTGGCCCAAGCCACAAACTTTGGGCACTCAGCCTCTGTGCTAAAGTTGCCAAAAGTCTCATAGGCATAAAACCAGCTGTAGTATCCAATCAGAGCAATATCAACAAACCCAAAACTTTCCCCTCCAAAGTAAGGCTTGTCTCCTAATGATCCCTCCAACACCTTGAGGCATTCTATGAAATCTTTCTTAGCTGCCTCCTGCTCTTCTCCTTTTGTTGTCCATAACTTCCTCCCAAAATCATACAACTGCAAATTTCAACAAACCCAAATTAGAAAAAGAAAAGGTTATCACTTGTTGCCACAAAAAACAAAGATAAAAGTCCATATCTTGTTTAAAATTAGTTGAATCAGCTAAAGAATCATAGTCAGTACATACGGAAAAGGCAAAGATTATACCTTCTTGTCAATGTAGTCAGCCCAGAACCTAGCTTGAGCTCTGTCATAAGGATCAGACGGCAGCAAATTAGGGGCTTTGTCTTTCCAAACTTCTTCAATGTACTCAACTGCAATAATAGACTCACAAATGGGTTTTCCCTTGTGAATCAACACTGGGATTTTCTTGTGGATAGGATTCATTTGTAAAAGCAAAGGGCTTTTGTTCCTCAAGTCCTCTTCTTTGTGCTCATACTTTATCTCCTTTTCAGCTAATGCAATCCTCAGCCTCATCCCAAACATGCTAGGCCAGAAATCCAACAGAATCACCTCTTCGTTCGCCATTGTTATGAAAAGCAAGTGAGAAATAAGAAATTTCAGAATTGATAATACTGATTGCTAGTTATAATACACGTCCTATTTATACAACTTTTTTGTGTACGAGTAGTGCTGTGGTCCATTGGAGTGTTTACAAAAGTTAATTTTGTTTTAAGCTTTTTAATCCCTTGAAATCCATAATATTCGAGATTTCTCTGTGTGGCCCTACCTAGAGGTCATCGCATTTCGTCACGTGGTCTATAGTAGAGTTTCAAACAACAGGGGGCCCACATTCTTATGTTCAAATTTCTTCGAAATTTTCGCCAATTTAAGAAATTTTCTGCGCTCCCTAGTCCCTACTCCCCAAATTTTGGTAAATCATAAATATTGATGAGGTTATGATATAAATTATTCTATAAAATAAAAAGTTTAAAGTTAAATTATATCTAAATATTTAAATATATTATTTAAATATTATTGTAAATAATTTAATTGTATCAGTAATTCTATAATTGCAATTAAAAGTTAATCTATTTATAAAATTGAAAATAAAAAAGAGTAAATTTATTGTAAATTATACAGTGTAGGTAATAAAATAATTATGGGTGAAACATAGAGGTAAATTTTATAACAAATTTGTTGTAGTTATGCATTTATATTTTACATGAATTTTAATTACAACTTAAAAAACTTCCACTAATAACAATTAAAACTCAAAAATCTATACACAATGGAGAATAATAGAAAGAGTGGAACTTAAAATCACACACATGCACACCGACATATTATATGTATCTTAATTCTTAATACACGTAAGTTTAAAATAATAATAAAAAAGTAGCGACAGATTTTGTAATAAATTGTCACGAACCGGATTTCCCACCATCGGGATCGTGACAAGTTGGTATCAGAGCCAGGTTCAGTTGAGCACAGCGTTCCATCCTCAGACGGACGGTCAGTCCGAGCGGACTATTCAGATTTTGGAGGATATGCTCCGGGCTTGTGTTATTGACTTTGGAGGTTCATGGGATCAGTTCTTGCTTTTAGCAGAGTTTGCCTACAATAACAACTACCAGTCGAGCATCCAGATGGCTCCTTGTGAGGCCTTATATGGTAGGCGGTGTCGGTCTCCGATTGGATGGTTCGAGCCGGGAGAGGCTCGGTTGATAGGTACAGATTTAGTTCAGGAGGCCTTGGAGAAGGTCAAGGTCATTCAGGACAGACTTCGTTCAGCTCAGTCTAGGCAAAAGAAGCTATGCAGATCGTAAGGTTCAAGNATTACTTTTTTCTTAATCATAAATTATTAAATTTATATCATAATTAAAATAAAAATATTGCACGTTATCCACTAAGACTGCTATGATAGTTAATTTTAAATATATTTTTCATTTAAAAAGTATTTATTTATGAACTTTCGTTATGTCTTTACTATATAATAGTCCATAATTTTTTATATAATTATTTTTCTAAATATTTTTTTCATGTTTACGAGATACAATACTTATTAATTTAATAGCTCAGTATTAACTAGTAACTATTTACAATTTGTTATCATGGTATTGTATGGTAAATTATGTGTCACTTTATTAACTTGTTGAAATTTAAAAATAAATGATGCTAGAGAATCATATTTAAATTGTCAATTATGTTTTTATATAAATTCTCTTTCAAATAGGAAGCATATTAAATAAAAAGAGTATTTTAAGAAAAATATCAAATTATAATATTGAAATTCTTTTAAGATTCATTACTCCTTAAGAGATACATATAAGATTTCGTATCGAATACATTGCTTTTAATGTTTGAGTTGTAACAACGTTGCAGCTGATTGACATTTTATGATATATGTCATACTTTATGTATTATTCATAGTTGAGTTATAATTTATAAATATTTCAAATAGATTATTTGTTATAATTTTGTGATTTTAATGTAATTCTTATAATTATTTTTTATTTTAAACTATCTTACAATTCTTGAAATTAGTAAAATGTAATGATCCTTGGGACTTACGCCCCGTGTCTCAGGGCTTACGCCTCGCCTCGTCAGAGGTAAAACGCCTCGCCTCACGCCCCCGCCTTTTAAAACATTGGTTCCAATTTCTTCGAACTTTTTGCCAATTTAAGAAATTTTTTGCTCTCCCTACTAAGGCTGTATTGTGGTCCGGGCTCAGCCCAGGATCGGTCCGGGACCGCGAGACCACGGGCTAAATGAGCCGGTCCCAAGCGGTCCTAGGAGCCCACTGTGGGCCGTTCCTCCATTTTGAGACCGCGAGCCCGGGACCAGCTGGCGGGCCTGGGCCGGTTCAACCGGTCCTAACGGGCCCAACGGCTAAAATTGGCCAGCGGTTTGAAGTTTAAAAACTAGCTGTTGGCCAGCCAATTTAGCCATTTGGCTTTTTAAAAAATAACCATTTGGCCCCCAAACTTTGTTTTAACCCCAAATTTTTTATAATTATTCTTTTTCCCTATTCTCAACTATAAATACCCCCTCATTCTTTCATTTTTACTCACAAAATTATCAATCTCTCTCTAATTTTCTTCTATAATTGCTTACTTTATTATTGCAATTTGTGAAAAATTGTGAAGTTGGTGAATTGAAGTATTCAAATCTTCAACGATATACAATTTTCAAGAAGTTGTTTGTCAATTCGGTAAACTCGTTCCAACTCTTAAGTTTTAATATTATAGTTTTGTTTGTTTTAGGCTAAAATCTTAGATATGCCCTTAAACTTGGCACCTTTTATAAAACAAACATATAAACTTATAAGGTGACCAGATAGACACTTAAACTCGTCCAAAGTGTAATTTTTAAACACCTCTCTATGTTAGACTTTGTGCGTGAGGTCCAAACGCTACTTACATGGCAAATGAACGAATAATATATTAACACGTGTATTTTCTTTTCCATGTAAGCAAATAATAGTCTAAAGCCAAATAATACTTCTCATTTATTCATCTTCTCTCTCTCTTCGCTTTCTGAGACCCAGCTCCCATCCCATTCCTTATCTAATTTGCATCATAGGTCTTTTAATTCTAAAGTTAAATTTCATCCAATTACTTCAGCAAATTAAAGAGGAAATCATATAAAAGGTGGAGATTTTATTTTATGTTGGGAGATTGATGGGTTGACTGCAGACTCCATGTTCAAGGGTTTTGATGAATTTTTTTGGAGATTTTAGTTGATTTTGTCTCTTCAGTGACAGAAACCAGTAAAAGGTACTTCTGTTTGCATAGATTTATGGTTTATGAGTTAGGGTTTTGTTGTTATTTTTGGTTAAAAGTTGGGGCATTTGTCTAGGTTTTGGGGAATATTTCTATTTTTTTATTCTGCTACAATTCCACATGGATAGTGTTATAACTGTAAGATTTCATTATGGGGAAGAGTTATTGAGAGAGAATTTCTCAAATACGAGGGGGAGTTAGGGGTTAGACAGTGGGGTATCGACTTAGATCACTTTTCTTTGATTGAACTCGATTATTATTCACGTGAAATTGGGTACTATATAGTTGAAGGATTTTATTACCAAGACACAAAAACAAAATAGTTTAAAATATTGAAAACCGACTCTGAACTTTTGGGTCTTGTCTCGAACTTGAAACATGGGAATTTTCTAGATATTTTCATCAAGCATGTGGTTGATAATGATATTGTGGTGGAAAATATGGTCCCTACAACTTTTACAATAGGTTCACAGGTTTTAGAAAATGAATCTCGGTCTACGGTTTTGCCTAATTTTACTGTGGCTGAGAATATAAATACTACTTAAAGCTTAGAGGAGCCTGCAGGTTTAGAGGCAAATCTAGATGCAAATCCATCTGTCATTGGTGCTGTAGAGGCTGATCTAAATGGTAGTGACAGTGAAGACTTAGATTTTGATGAAGACTTAGAGGACATACCTGATGAAGATGACAGCGACGTTGATGAAGAGTCAAGGGAGTTCAGAGAAAAGCAAAGGCAACAGAAGAGAGAAGAAAAACCAAAAAAGAAACGAAAGCAAGTGGCACAAGACATTGAACTTGGGGAGGTTGGTATAGACAAGGGTTTTGAAGACTTTCAACAGAGAAAAGAAAATAGGTATGCTGGAAAATTAGCTGGAGATGAGGAATATCTAGGTAGTTCAGATGTCGAAAGTGATGATAGTAGGGATGAACTAGATCCTCAAGCAGAAAGGGGGACAGATTTACCCGTTAGAAGGAAGAGCAAAAAGGTTAGATTTGATTCTAGTTGTGAAGTTGCTATTTTTGAGCTTGGCATGATCTTTGAGAATGTCGGTGAATTCAGAAAAGCTGTGGCAGATTATGCTATTGAAAATAGGGCATAATTAAAGTTAAAACCAAATGAAAAGGAAAGGGTCAGAGTTAGGTGTAAAAATAAGAAGTGTAACTGGGAGTTGTATGCATCTGAGGACAAGGAAACAAAGGATTTTATAGTTAAGAAGTATTACCCAGCTCATAAGTGCTTAGAAAAAACAAAGAACAAGCTTTGCACAACAACATTTATTGCTAGAAAATTGAAGTATGCTAGAAGAGATTAGGCACAAGATAATGAGTAGAAATATTGACATGAGGAACTTTCCTGAAACTTGGATTCAGACATAGCACCGATGGCTAGGTTGGTACTAGATGAATACAAGGCTATAGCTAGGAGATGTAAATTCCTATTTAGTGGGGATGAAGGACATGAAATTCTTGATGGTGTATATACGCATATTGTTAACTTGCCAAAAAGATACTGCACTTGTAGACTTTGGATGTTAAAGGGAATTCCATGTCCGCATGTTATTTGCTTTTATCATAGTGGAGATGAAGAACCAGAGGACTATGTGGAACATTGGTATAGAAAAGACACCTTCCTGGAAGCTTACAAATATGACATCCAACTAATGCCTAATATGAAAATGTGGCCTGAGACAAATAATCCTGCAATTGAGCCACCAGAAGTGAAACCAATTCCAGGCAGACCAAAAAGATGCAGAAGAAGAGAAAAGACTGAACCAAGAAAGAAATATGGTAAGGCTACCAAGTTTGGAGTGAAGATGACATGCTCAACTTGCCATGAGAAAGGTCACAACAAAAAGGGATGCAAAGCAGGGGTATTGTTCGATTATCTATTTTTATATTAATTAATAGTAT